AAGGTACTCCCAACTTAAGGATATGTTCTACTAACTAAATTATTTTTGATTTGTGTACCCAGTAATTTTAATAATCCTTAAAAAAACTGACTTCAGAAACTTTATTACAAAATTTAAAAAACAGAGCCACTTTACAACTCTTTGGTTGAAATTTTTTGCTTTAAAGTTAACAGACTGGTTCACAGTCAAAAACTATCAGTTCGAATTGAATAACTTTTTTTTTTCGTTTATAAAAGATAACTCCATATCTCCATTGTCGCGGGGGACTTTTACAAACATACAAGAAACGGATACAAAGAACAACCAGACTCAGAACAACAATTTGTGGATCACACGAAGTGTCGTCCCATGTGGGGTTTGAACCCACAACACTCGGCGTAGTAGGAAGCGGCGTGGCGACCGCTTAATCCACTACGCCATCCGTGCACTCTATAGGTGTTGAATAGCCGATTTATCGAGGAAGGCTATAAAGTGGAAAAATATTGCAAAAAAGGGTAAAATAATTCCTTTTGAGAGACCCAAATGAGCGGGTCAGCTAGTATTTATTAATAATCTCAATATCGCTGTGTAATAATATTTCAAAATAGTACTATTATTTCTCAGGCGTTTAAAAGTACATCGTTCATAACACGTGTACACCACCACACCAACAGACCGGCTCCATCTAGCTGTAAAGTCCGACTTAAAAAATATTTGAAAAGATTTACTTACAGAAATAAATATCATTCCATTTCATTTCAAATAAAAATAAAGACTTAAAACCACACAATAAAGACTTAAACATAAAACCACTAGTCACCTAAGAACATAAATATGTAATGTATACCTAAGTGTAATACAACGTACACAGTACACAGCAGTCCCGGGGGTAGGACACAATCTGCGCGGGCATCACCGGAAAATTAGACATAGCTACCATGTTTTAATAAGCTGCTCTGTTACGCTTCTTTGTAAGGAATATACTGCAATTAAGTGCAGTGCGGTTTTAAGGTAGCTTGTAGAATTGTTGTGATATTGCTTTAGAATGGTTTAGGCAGGATTTGAATGAGAACCTATTTTTAACACGCCTTTATTAGCTTTATTTGTAAGTATCTATGTAAAAAATCTTGGAAATTACTTTGAGTATATTTTAATTTTCCATTTAAAATGAAATTATGGATTATTATTTGGGATGAATACACTATATATATTTTTGTGGTATACTACCGCCTCCTCCCCACCTGGAACTCAGTAGTCACATGTCGCTCCCCTACTATCAGGTAGAGAAGGATTTTGGGTTCCTATAACTCTTTTATATATCTTTGATATTTTAAAAAGACAACTCCCGCATTATCAATATATTCTGTGTCGCGACCTTCAAAGAACACACAGACTCAGAACAACAATTTGTGGATCACACAAAGTGTAGTCCCATGTGGGGATCGGACCCACAACACTCAGCATACTAGTAAGCAGCGTGGCGACCGCTTAAACCATTACACTACTCGGTTAAAATCAACGAAAGAGCTGCTAAACACCTATTCTGTAAACCTGAGTATTACTCAGTTAGAGTCGATCCAATACTGCCGAAGCATGGCTCTCCCAGAGATCATTTAAAAATATGATTTAGGACAAGGGACTTAAATAGTCTGAATTAAGAGTATTTTCTTTTGCATGTGCAAGTGAAATAAGTAGGGAATAGTTATGTTTAAGAGTAGACTACTTAAATTTCTAGTAGATAAAACTTACTACAGTGTAACAGAATTTCTATCGGAAAAAATATATTTAAGTGCTGATTATGGATGTATTATCTCAATGTCTATCGTGCAGTTTGTGTTGTGTGTTTACTAATGTGTCATTATTGATTTTTATTACCTAATGTTACTAGTACTAATGTTACAAACTACGCATGACAACAGCACTGCAAAGAGAAGGTAAAATCCCTATACCAACCCGTCTGGCCAGCGTAGTATAGTAGGCCAAAACCTCCTTTCTAAGGAGAGGCCTATGTCCAGCAGTGGACTATTAAAGGCTGTTGATGATGATGAATGTTAAGATTTACCTAATATTAATATTCTATATTAATATTCAAAAGCATGTTTACTTAACCTAATAAAAAATGTTTGCATGCCTCTGGTAAAATATGCATGTATATATATATGTATATATATATATATACATACATATACACATGCATAAATTATGTATATCAATAGTAGAATCGCCTTGTATGAGAGCATGTTGTCCCTACATAGATATCTAAAAATATGTCAGTTGTTTTTGATTCCAAATTATAATATATATATATATATATATATTATAATAATAAAATTATATAATAAAATGAAATAAATAAATAAAATAAAATAAAATATAATAAATATTTAGTTATAAATGCAAAAGTAATTCTGTTTGTCTGTCTATTACGCTTTCACAGCTAATCGACTAAACAGATTTTAATGAAATTTGGCATTGAGATACTACAATTTTTGAGGCAGGACATAGGCTACTTTATGGGATAATAGTATCTTAATATACTAGTCAACTAAATATACCAGCCCCGCCAACAGCGGCGTACCGAGCCCCGTCCCTACCCTGCCCAGTCTACTTTTTACTGGTGAGCGCCGCGTGCGTGAATTCATTTCAACTTGGTCTAAAAACTCTACCGCTGTTTTTTTACTCATACCCAAACTGAATATGAATTCCACATACGAGAAAGTTACAGAAAAATACGAGGTTTATCCGCAATCCGCATACTTTGTGAGGTAAAACTGTTAACAACTGCGTATCAATATCCAGACTTTCGGTTGTCCGATTACGATTTCAATTAATTAAGTTAGTCTATTTACAACTTTCATGTGGTTATTTCAAGGCTTTGAGAATTATTAAATCTACTGGAAAATTCATTCTACTACGTGAAAAAAATAGTATCATGCTATGCGCTACTGAATGCCGAATATCATCGAATACCAAGTTCGTAATCTTGTATAAAAAAAAAACAAAAAAAAGGATTTTGGGTTCCTATAACTCTTTTATATATCTTTAATATTTAAAAAAGACAATCGTAATCTTGTACAAAATATATTTGAGTACCCACTTTTATTTTATGTTATATTCAACAGCTCAATAGATTTATTTTGTTTACTTTTATGTATGTTTTCTCAAGCAAGCAAGCAAATTTTGTTAATTCGTTTGACAAATAAAGATTCTTAAACCGTAATAATGTTCATCAGTTTTGTTTGAAAAGTTGGGTACACGTTCGATAAAAGTGTTTAGCTCATTGTGTTTTTTGCAGTAGTTTTGAAGTAAATCTCGTTATAGTTTTTTTGCGGCTTAATAACATGCAGGTTAACGTTACGTGGGCTAAAAACGTTTTTAGGATAGAAAACTGCAAACATGGGCTGTTGTTTCGTTATGTGATTTAGAGAAAAACTAAATGTGCTGTTTTGATTAAAGTTGACACAGTGAAATCGAGATCAGCGCAGGGGACATCTAGTTGTGTAATAAAAGGTTTTTCTAATACACCTAAGTTAAAATTTTACCATGAAATTAATGACAGTTTTAGTTTTAAAATACCCAAAGTAACTTAGAAAGTCTTGACGACCTTATACCATGTTGTCAGTGCAAAAAATAACTAAAAATATTCGTGTTTTACTCTGGAAACATTCCTTATTAAGAGATAGGTAAATTGAACAATTAAAAACAAATCTGTTTGGAACATTCAAGCTATCATAAAAGTACATTAACCCTTATGTAAAGTAACTACAATAAACACAATCATGATCATCAGCCCATCGTAGTCCACTGCTCAACATGGGCCTCTCCACTTAGATCGATTCTTGGCTTTAATAAAATATACAAAAATATGAACACAATGCACTAAATAACTAACTGGGAGTATGTTTTTAAAGCACAAAAGCAATGTATTAGAGCCATTTATAGACTTAAGACTACTGACAGCTGTAAACCAATTTTTAAAAGTCTTAATTTACCCACTCTCCCATGCATGTATATATTGGAGGTGGCTATGTTTGTAAAAAAAAATATGCACTTATTCGCTCATTTAAATGGCCGTCGCCATGAATATAAAATAAAAACGATGCCTAATAAAACATGGCTTGTAAATAGAAGCATATTGTGTATGTCATCTAGGATTTACAACAAACTTCCTGTGAATATATGTAAATTAGATAGCATAAGTTAATTTAAATTTAAATTAAAGATTATATTACAACAAAAAATATACTAGTGTTAAGGAATACTTAGAAGACAAATATCTAATATAAACATTATGCTTTTCTTTTTTAAATTCTATTTACTACAATTTAGTTAATTTGATTCATGATCTACTATTTAATTAAAATAATAATTATTGTAATTTATTTTGACATATTTTTTAATGTAATTTTTATATAGACGTGACTCATGAATTATGTCTAGATTATGTTTGAAATGTTTTAGTGAAATTGTAATATAAACAAAAGTATATTGAAATATTTGCATGCCACAAGGTGGAATATGAACTAACGAAAATTACCTTTGTAACAACTTTACTATTGTACCCATATTCGCAAATAAATGTTTATTATTATTTAAAAAAAAATGAATACCAATACCATTGATTTTTGTAGGTAATAACATATTTATTTATATCATAAACGAAAGCTTGCCAGTAAATGTATACTCATTACAGCCTCAAACTAGTAGAGGTACGCAAAGAAACTTCGTGCGAACCCGTACAGGAAGTGTAAGGAGTGAGAACTTATAACGAGCGCCGAGGAACTTACTACAGTGTGGCCCAACTTTACCTAATGCGATGTAACTCGAAGGTACAGTACAAGAACTTACGTATAGCGAACATTGTATTTTGTTGGTACTATTTAAAAAACAATTAGAACAATCTTACTATTATTTTTAGTATGCTTAATTAAAAATTTGAAACCGGGCTACGTAAAAAGTAAAAGTATGGAATGAGAAGGTAGGTGTTTTTCCCTGTTAGTTTTTAACTTAATTCGAGAGTAATGCATCTGCGTGGCACTTTAGATAACCTTTATAAGGCAAAAGTTAATTGTACCTATGGAGTAGCCTTGGCCTGCTCGCTGGTCGAATCTCCACCTAATTGGTATGTTTAAGACGATCACGGAGGATGCTTGAGACAATGTAACCCAAATGGGACTCTCTAATCAAATGAATAAAGAATAATATAAATACTACCATGTAATCAGTACTGTTCCTAAGTGAAGCCGGCGGCATTGTCAGAGAAAAATACCAAATATTATACCTCAATCTCTGCCTACCTACTTTGTTAGACTTAGGTATGGTGAAGCAAATAAACGTCGATACTTAACCTAAAAATATAGAAACGAAAACCTCCGATAGAGGTCACGGTATCCACTTAAAAAAATCTCCATTATTTATATTTAAAGCTTGACGGCGTTGGGACGTTGGTGCCGCAATTTTTCCATCCCCCCTTACCCCCACCCACTACACAATTTGTCTTGAAACTTGCTCGACCTGGGAGTGCCTCCCTCTCCTCTTGTAATCAGGCTTCCATCCCCCCATGTGCCGCTTTAGGTGCCGAGTTTAAGGTGTACCTAGATTTATTGTTGTGTGTTTTCTTTGTTTTTATAGTATGTATTTACTTAGTATAAGCCTACGGTACTTAGATTGACGTATATCTACACTATCTTAAGTGAAATTTCATTTTGATACGATAGTTTAAATGAAATAATTATTTTGAATGCAAGCGACTTTACGGGGGCTTGAGGTCAATTCCCTTATTGAACAATGGTTGGTAGAATTCATAAAATATTGCTGAAAGTGTACCTAACTATATAAAGTACTAAAATAAGGCGTGATTGAAATATGAAAAAAAAAAAAAAAAATTCAAATAATTTGTAAAACCTATTGAATTCAATGTATTTTAAGTTTTATGTAAATGCCAAAAATTGGTTCAAAATAAATTAGATCACTAAATCGGACAATAACTTGAAATATCTACTGTGAAAATGTTCGTCCAGTTTTATAATCACATTTTAATTAACAATTTAATTTCAAACCGTCGTATTAACAATAAAAGCGAATTGTTTGATAACAGTAAAGCGCAATTTTTAAGGTTTATTAAAAAGATACTGTTTTCACTTGATTATCTACCTTTTATACTCTGTACAAAGGCACTTTCTATCAATCGATCTAGGTACTTGATTTCAAACAGATTAGGAAAAAAATATTTTTATCTCTTTCCAATTTCTTAGACTAGATTAAAAGAGTTATTTGACATTCTTTATTACCGGCAGTACATTACTGAGATGTGTCGTAGATCTATAATAGAAATATTGGGAAGCAGTTTTTAATACAATTTTCAACAAGCACCGAACAACCTTGTGATAAGAGCTGCCTTTCAATCGAACCATTTATTTTAAGAGCCACACAGAGAGAAAAATCCCTTTTGATATTGTGATATTGCCACCTAAACATCCTACGCAGAAGATTCAACAGACTTAGTATTTCTGTAAAGCTAAAATTATGATATTTTCATTAGGTATATTATTAACTTATCCTAAAGTAGGTTGCAAAGATATGTGTCTTCTTACGTAAATTTGTAACTATTTTTTATACCAAACCTATAAGATGTAAACAACACACGATATCACACTACAAAACACAGTTATTTTACTTTAAAACTGAGGGAGAGTAAAACACGAGACGCACATAAAGCGAGCGCTACATAGAGGCATCGCTCGTGACCTACTTCCTCGACCTACATCGCACAACCAATACCTGGAGGCTTACCTTCACGTACCTCTCAGGTAAGAGGTAACTGCCGCCGATTGGAAGGCTCACAACCAACCCGCAAAGCCCTACACCTGAGAGGTAACGTCGCAGGTGCGCACAGGTGCGCCTCGCCGCCTTCGCACAGACCACGCCTCTCATATCGACCTGCGCAGGTAAGCTGCGCGCTGATTGGTCGCGGCAAGGTACGCCAGGTGTACCTGCCGATACAGGTGTATTCCCCGTAATTCTTCAACGCGAAGCAGTTGTGTGGCTGTCGGTGGTGCATGTGCAGTGTTTCTGTGAAGTTTGGTTGTGAGAAAATTTTGAAAAATTGTGCGCATGTGTTGGTGCGATTGATGTTTCCTTGAGGTGTGCTAAATTTAGTACTTAGGTGGGCGCGGCGCGTCCTTCGTGAAGGTCATCGCGAGGTCAGGACATGGTATGTGCTAGAATGTTTTTATGTTCTATTGGGGACATTCTAATAATGAATTTAAGTTTTTCTAGAAATGCAATTTTAGAAATGGATGAAAATAACGCTAGATACAAGAGTTTCAGTACACTTTAATTTATTTTTGGTTGGTTTTTTTAGTAAGCTTTAGATACTACTAATATTAATTGAATCTTATTATACAAGGTAAATAATAGTATCAATAAATATAGGTAAATCAAGTGATTTTGACTAGATTAAAAACGCTCTAAATAAATTGTAATATTAGGTATATTTTCCACTTTTTGTTACCTCTCATTAGGTAATACAAGTCATTAACTAGTTGTAAATGCAAATATGTAAATTTAAATACAACTGAATAAACACGTTGCAATTATTATACTGATTAGGATAGAATTGTAGGTAGGTTTTCAAAGTATTCAAAAACTGTAGTTAAGTGGTAGGTAAATTCTCTGGTAGATTTTACAGATTCAATCTGAATCTGATATTCCCTTAAATTAGTTGTCAGTTTTTTTTTATGTAATAGGGGTTAAACGAGCAGACAGTTTTGTAGTTACTTATCGTTTTATGTGGGTACACTTACTGTAAACTTTATAAGCATACCTATATCTTATATATAAAATTCTCGTGTCACAATGTTCGTTCCGTACTCCTCCGAAACGGCTTGACCGATTCTCATGAAATTTTGTGTGCACATCGGGTAGGCCTGAGAATCGGCCAACATTTATTTTTCATACCCCTAAACGGTAAGGGTGACCCATCCCTAATTTTTTCTTTGTTTTGCAATACAACGTTTGCCGGGTCAGCTAGTTAAGTTATAAAATGTAGGTATACTAGGCTGTCTTATAAGTTTTAGTTATGTATTATAAGTACAATACAAGTTCATAAATATAATATCTTATTCCTTCCCTATTAAAGACTCAAGTTATACTGAAATTCTCATAAAAAATAAAATAGTACCCCCTCCTCGTACGCCCGCTCTAGGTGGGTCTAACGAGAGCGTAGTAAACCTACGCGCAGCTAGGTAATGAGACAGGGGGAGGGAGGAGACCTAAAGTAGGGGGATGAGAGGAGCGTTGAGGTAAAAGCCACTTTAATTATGAAAGAAGATTGAGCTGTAGGTAATATGACGCTGGGGAGTGTATGTAGCCTCCTACTGAGAGACAGATATTACTAATTTTATGTTTTCATGTGTCTTTTCAGTTTTTTAAATTGATATTGAGTTTTCTTTAAAGTTCTGTCAAACTAAATTGTTCTAACGGAACAATATATTTCCAAATAAATGTCCACATAGTTTGTTATTTCTTTTTCATTAAATGGACATAAACACATAGATATATATAGGTGTATATATAGTGTGTATGTATGTGTATAGTGTGTACTGGATTGTATATAAAACTTGTGATTGTGTATAACCTATGTGCGTCTACCACTCACGATTTCTACACTACCTCAAGGTTGACTGGGGGAGAATGTATTGGGCATTAAGTCCGCCGATGTACAAATGTGCATAAAGTGATAAATAAATAAAATAAGTATTAAATTCTCTTGTATAGGTCTGGCATCTGGTATATACCTATATATATTTCACTTATACTCACTCATTACGGATGTTATTCATTAAAGATCTCAAAGCGTTACTTTGTAGACTTCTGCAATTAATTTTATTTTGTGGACCAACTCGCACTGATAGAGTTCACGTTTCGACCTTCTTTCTCGAGACATTTTCTTTTTCTTTCTCGAGACATTAGATTAAGGGGAAGTAATAGGTAAAAAATCTCAACGAAGTTAGCCCAAGGTTATTTAGCTATATGCTTGAATAAGCGACAAACACGAGTTGACGTCTTCATCGTACATAACCTTGGTTTTATTCAAGTTAATGATGAAACTGACGTGTTTATCAATACCCAATATAATCCATAACCAAGGTCAAGCTGGATAAGAAATGCAGTGTTTGATTTTTTTTTTTTTGTTCTGTAAACTTAAAGAAACTTTTAATGGTAAATAGACTTCTTTTGTTTTGTTTTTAAAAAGCCAAACTTTCCACGATACAGCCTGTGTCGCGGGGGACTTTACCTACCGGTAAGACCCGTTATAGAGGATTGGCTCAAGAGGCGTCACGGGACCCTCTCATACCGACTGACGCAGGTGATCACTGGGAAAGGATGTTTCGGGGATCACCTGTGTCTGATGCGCAAGGAGCCAACGCCTGAGTGCCACCACTGCGATGGCCAGACCGTGGACACGGCTCTCCACACGCTGGCAGAGTGCCCGGCGTGGGTTGAGCAGAGGCGAGACCTCGTGGCGGCCATCGGAGTTTGAGTTCTCTCGGCTCGATAGCCTGATTGCGGCTATCGTGCGGAGCGAGAGTGCGTGGAACTCTGCCGTCTTCTTCTGCGAGCAAGTTATGCGAGACGGCGGAGCGGGACTGGGAGAGGTTTAGGACTCTCTCGGCCCGCCAGGCCCGGGAACGGTAGCAGAACGACCTCCGTTCTCCATTAGCGCAGGCCTGGGGGTGACAGATGATGCCATCTGTCACCCTAGCAGAAGCAGGCCGGGGTGGCGGCGAGCGCGTTGCGAAGCGCGCTCGCTTCCAGGGAGCAGAGGGAACATGGGGTTCCCACACGGGGGGGGGGGGGGGTCGTCTACCTGTTGTTGTAGATGGCCCGAGGTATGTCGGGGCACCAGGGACTTCCTTTCAAGGGTATACCTGGATCCCCCTGGTAAATTAGTACCCGAGACGGCATGCGGTTTTAGTCGGTTCTAGTCCGACATGCCACCGACAGGTGGTATCCGAGGGGATTTCCGCACGGAAAAAGAAAAAAAAAGGGGGACTTTACCTACAAGAAACGTACAAAAAGAACACCCAGTATTTCTTGTGATTGTTTCATGTAAGATCAGTTGAGTTGTAGTAGTAAGTTGGTTGAGCCTGGACTCAGAACAAAGAAAGGATTACACAAAGTGCTGCTCCATGTGGGGATCGAACCCATAACACTCGACGCACCAGAAGGCAGTAGCGAGGTGACCACTTAAATCACTAGGCCATTCCTGCAATCATTAATAGCTATATGTGCCCAAACTTATTAATTATCTTCTAGAATTATCTTTCGAACTATGAAAAAGTAGGTTAAACTTCTGAGGTTTGTTTACATTACCCATCTGTTACAAACGCGACTCACGAAAGAATGGTATAAACAATTATCGTGGGTAACGTGACTTGTACCTTTTTTTTTCTGTGCGAAAATCCCGTCGGATACCATTTTTAGTCGGACTCGAACCGACTAAAAACCGCACGCCGTCTTGGGTACCAGTAGCAGGGGAACCAGGTGCACTCTAAAAAGGAAATCCCTGGTACCACGACGTAAACGTGACTTGCACCTATTAATCAATTTATGTTCAAACAAAAGTAATAACAAATATGGCTATGTTGTATTCTTATAAATTAGAAAAACTGTTATACACTGAGACCTAACTCTACAGTTGATTTTAGAAAATAAAATTGAAATGTTTAACGTAGACTGGTATTCAGTAAAAACTGACGCTGTTTATTCTTAATTCTAGTAAAATTGAACCTTAAAAACATATCTGTATAATACAAACTGTAATTATGTCGTTTTGTCAAGTTAATGTCCATGTATACCTCGATACTATTTTCCATTTGGCGTGTTGCCGTAGGGAAGCAGACGTTAATGTTGACAGAGGCAATACGACAGCACCTAAGCCGTAACGATAACTCATGTGCATCGTACATACATGCAGTCTCAGTCGTAAAACTGGTTCAGGTGAAGACATAGTGGAGAGTGAAGCGGGCGGAGGCCAAAAACTACAGATATTTACATGGTTTTACTCGGGTTTTAGACGGCATCGTGGTAGGACACTTCATTCTATCAAAAAAGAGTTCTACAGTAGCAGGGCATCCCTGAAGAATCTCCTGCTACTATATAAGTACATCATCATCATCGTCAACAGCCGTAAATAGTTCAATTCCGGACATAGGCCTCCTAGAGGTCCGCGTGGTGACGGATTAAGAATACAGAGTGTCACCACCCCTATTCATCCCGTGGGTGTCGTAAGAGGCGACTAAGGGAACAAACCATGCAAGACAACAGCACTGCAGAGAGAAGGAAAACTTGACACAAACCCTATACCAACCCGTCTGGCCAGCGTGGTATAGTGGGTTGGTTGGTGTGGTGGGGTGGACATAGGCCTCTCGTTAGAAAGGCGATTTTGTCTAATTAATTATACCACGCTGGCCAGACAGGTCGGTATAGGGATTGTTTCAAGCTTTCCTTCTCTTTGCCGAGATCATGCTGGACGCACGATGAGGTTATCATTACGGTGGCATCGGATGGAACTAGACACAAGATGATATCTATAGAACAGCTGAATGCTAAAGTAAAAACGTAACCGAAGAGTGTATCAGCGGCCATGTCGACTAGGGCTGCCGCCAAGGCATCTTCTCGTCTAAAGTAATGTCAATTCCAACCGACAATTACATTAATTCAGAATGTTTTACGTTTATGTACTTATCAACCGCATTCTCAAACTTTCTGTTATCATACTCATTTTAATCATCTTGTGTTGTTTATAAGACCTTTCATCTGTTTTGGCGTAACATAAATCACATTACCCCCGACTTAGTACCTTTAAAAAGTATATGCATCTTGACCTTGTAACAATAATGATTACCACGTAATTTCCTTTTTTAACAGTTCTGTCATGTTATTATAACATAACTCTCATGTCACTCGCACACTATAGTTAAACCGCCGTAAGCTTGGCCCTCCTGATGGTTTGCGGGACGCGGGTCGGGAGTGCATTCTACCAATTGCTGGCCAGACGGGTTGGTGGTTGGGTGGGTGGGCTGG